GGGCAAAGAGGAAAATTCCTCCATCCTCACAGAGGATCAGTCGAAACGACTCAGGTGTTGATTGACTACAAGTGCTACCAAGTGCAGCGGGGCTGTCGTAGCTAAGCGCTTGAGGAAGCGTACTTTAGGTCACCGACCTACTTTCGTTCTTTACAAGAACCCAGTATGAGTTAGCGGATCGTAATCCGCTTACTCCAAGAGTAATTATTGCCTTCCCAAGATTGACTCTTTGATTTGAATTCAAAACTGAATTTTATTTATATTTTTACTCTAGTTTTAAAATTTTAGTTTCTCCTGAATAATATATATATATATATGGTAAAATCTTAATACATGCATAACTACTTGCTACCTAGCCACACTTCGGAAAAAGCCAAATACATGACTAATAGCTTGTGTACATGTGATGGTACCGTATTCTTGTTTGGGTGTGGTCACATCTTGCACATCTCGTGTGACACCCCCCCTGTTATCAGGGTTCGTGTAACCCCGTTACAAAGTGCCTTTTAGCTCTTTGAGTGAAGTATCCGTTCTACTTTACTACTCTTTGTCGACCCACCGGCCAGCTATTTGCTCCACATAGATGCAGACCACATTTTGTTCATCAAGATGTGGCCCGGCGACAGACACCGCTCCCGCGGCTGGCTCCCGTGAGCTGACCACAATTGCACTCTCGCCGAGAGTCTCTACATGCGTTCGAACGTTAGTTGGGTCAGTTTTTTTCGGTGTGGTGTCCGAACTAGATCAACTCACTGCGCACCCTTAGCTGCTCAGACCCACGCCGATGCTCTGTAGTGGATAGTAGCTCGGCTACAGGGGATAATATTGGCAACTTTCAATTACAGAAGAGCATTTGCATTCGACCAGCTTGTATGAGCGGAATCGTAATAAAGCTTCCTTAGCCCGCGTTGAACGCATGATGCATTCGTATTCGCTTCGAAAGTTATGTACATACCTCAATTGAACTTTTTTATCAGCAGACGCTCATCCCTTACTACATATGAATGTGTCATCCGCCTCGCTATGGCATCAGTGTGTTGCTTTTGAGCACCTTGGCTTTCAAACATTGCATTGCACGCTAGACGCATACCTGCTACAAAGTGTACCTGGGTTGTTTTGCTTCATAGCTACTAATCACAACGAAAATACTGTCTCACACACAATTTCTCAATAGAAAAATGAAAATCTTATCTATTGCTTCGCATGTATACACCTTCGGTCGACAACCACGGTTCCCAATAAGTAACAGTCTGCACTCGCGCAACTGGCGTCAACAGCTTCAGGTCCGAAACGCCAGCTGCCATGATGGCTTCGCGACTCACAATACCACGCTCCAAATTCATGACTCCTTCCATAAACTCGCCACCAATTGCAATTCTCAAGTAAGTGACGCACCGGAAGGCAGTAGATATCTGCATCGCGTTGTTTTCGTTCTGTGCCGGCCACCAATAGAATTCTACGCAGATTGAAGTCATTGTGGTTTCTTGCTGTTCTAATAGATATGCCACATAATCACCCCCAAACTCATACGATGATCCACCTAATAAGCTTGTCAAGCCGTTTAAGGCGATTGGAGCAACACGAATCTGTGCATCACAAAGAAGCTGCAGCCAAGCATCTTTCTTCGGCAGCACTGATGCATATGCTTGTATCTACACAAATCTCGCCCAAAGTTAGACGAACAGTGTCTGATCAGCTTCACTTTTTGATACGCACATATAGAGTGTGCAGGGGGTCTCCGGCACCTGCAAGCGTTATTCGCAGCAGTTGCGAAAGCGCATGGCACGATGACCATATTGACGGCACATCCTGATCTTGAACGCCAGTCATATCCTCAATGCACCTCACTTGTGCTTCATGGGGATCTCGACGCAGTTTTCTTGTGTGGTAGTTGATTATCAAACTATCTTGTCGTAGCGAATAGTCGGCTTTCCATCGCCATGATTGGATGCTCGCTTGCTGATTTGGACTATACAAAATCTCTTGTACCCTGATTTGCTGTCTCTATTGTAAGAATTATTTAGTTAATTGGTCTGATATTGAAGGTACGTCACAAAGAACGCACCAAATAGCCTTCTCGCACTTGGGCTACGAATCCCTGCCATCCTGCAAGATCGCAACACGCGATATACGCCTCAAAATCTGTCGCGACAATTTGTCTTTTACCAATGACTACCTCATTTATCGTGGATTGCTGGAGTTTATTTCTTAATCCAGAGCGCAGCTCTCTTAGACCAGGATCACTAAAAACAACGCCCAACACAGCATCACTTAGTTCCCGCACACTACGTATGCTCCTATAAGTAGGCCCCGACTTTCGAAGAAAGTCATCGAGCGCACCCCAATATCGTCCAACGCATGTCAAGTAGGCAGTTCGAAGCCTATTACCGTCTCGATATACAGCACCAACTCCAATGGAGTCACACTTCCCTAGCAGCAACGGTTGACACGCAGTCAGCATGGACTTTACCAATTCAATTGTCTCGCATGAAAATGCCCAGACGCACACCTCAGCAACCACAAGCAATACATCTTTCTCCTTAGTCTGGGACGTATCATCTGCAAAAAAATCTGTCGAGCTTCGATGTTCCCTCGTCGCAACAGTAAGCAAAAACTTTGCTAGATCTGCAGCTTTGGCTGATGCAGCTTGCCAGTGCTGTGAGATTGCACTTGTCAACACGAGCTCTAGCCTAACTGAATGCTTGATGCCGCAGAAAGATACGTGAGATGCAAGAAAATAAATGATCGATAGATCCGAAAGCTGCTGCAGTTCATTTTGTTGTTGTCTAATCGCGAAATTATCTTGCTGCTCAATCCAGTTAGGAGTAAGATCCGCACTATTGTCTGCAGGTGACAATGCTTCTGTTGTTGAAAAGGGTGATCGTGGTCGAATGACCTCATTGTGAGATTCTCCCTCATCGTATTTTGTATTATCTTTTCCATCCTTTTCCCTTTTACGCTTGGACACGTGCTTAATGCTCCGCCGACTTTTATTACCACGAAGAAGCCACTGGTCAAAGGTTTGAATACGACCGCATCGTGATCTTAAGGCGGGTGATTTCTGCATCCGTAATCCAGTGAATTCCCACCCTTCTGATGGTTGGAATTGACAATACAGGTCTTGATTAATGTAATTTTCGTTTCGTGATGCGAAATGACGCTTCAGTTCCAGTGAATCAACAGTTTCAGCCGATGGACTATTACAAAAACTTTCCTGGCACTGCTGATTAATCGCAGTATATTCTTGAAAAGCTGTCGAGATTTTACGCTGCACTAGACGGCGCAAACTTGTATCAAATACGTAAGCTGCATCTGTGCCATAGTGTAACATCATTGATGCTGTGGTATACACGCCCACAGGACAAGAATCTGATAGATCAGTTGAAGCATCCAGTGTTGAGCGACGATACGAGACAACTGTGAATGGCGGCGACTTTACTATGCACAGCAGCTCTAGTCTGGTTGCATCTTGTTGATGGAAGCTTTTAAAGGATCCTGATACTTGCATCTGATAGAAAACATAAGCTTTCAGGACATGTTTTGTTTCACGCTGAATTATGTTAGCTCCACTCTCCCAGTGGTAGTACCACTTAGCGTACGACTGGCTATTTAAGACGAATGTAGCTGACTCGAGCTGAAGGCACTCGTCATTTTGTATCGATCGTAATGAAGGCTGTTGTTGCTGTATGCTCTCTTGTCTTTTCGCTCTAATACATCGTATGCCTTCCATCCACGAAGCTTCCGGGTTTTCTTCACTCTGTGAAATGCTACGCAGGTATTGCAACGAGAATGCGCCATCTGAAGATTCGCCATCGACTTCAAAACGAGCGAAAACATGAACATTTCTGATGTCAAATGGCGCGAAATATTGGCTATCCTGGTCACATAAAACAGGTTGGGAGACATCCGACATAGGATCGAAACGCAACACAACGTCGAGCGACGACCCGCAATAACTTCTGTCCATATGATCTGGACAGCAGTGAGGAAAACACCTGCAGACGAGCTTCAGGGTAACGGTTTTCCATCCATTGTATGCACGTACCGTAAGATCTGGCCGGTGTTGTGGTAACAATAGCAGTAGCAAGATAATTAGATAACTCAGATAGCTGTACCTGACACTAAGATACAATTTGAACGATTGATGCACAAACCTTCGTGCCCCGATTTCGGTTACTCCTACAAGGTGATTAAAAGCAGAACAATCAGATAAAGAAAATGTGATTCGACACGACAATAATTTTGGCAAGAGTGTGCTTCAGATCACATGGCTTCGCGAAGGGCATTAATTTAAATATTGTGGTGCATTGCTTCGTACTCACCGCGTGTATTTTTCCTTGAAAAGCCGAGGGTGCGGGCAGTTGGCACGCAGAAAGACGCCACTGCATGCTGGCAACGCGTTCGTCATGCCAATTACAGTACTATCACTGCTCAGCGCCTCTTTGATTAATGAAAGGTGGGAGATCCGCGACGAAGACAGGCCGTTTTTGAGAGACACATGAGTGTGAATAATATTGAGATAGCCGTAAGACAACAAACGATATTTTATTCCAGCTAAGTTCGCAGCAAATTGAATTATACATCACAACGTCTAGACATGAGCCTCTTCCTGGCCAATGCTACATCGTTTGCAGTCTCAAAATAACGATAGATTTCTCACACATCTACAATGATGTCGGTCAACGCTTCCGTTATGCGACTAAAACTTCGTCCGAATTTACAGGAAGCACCAAATGATTCGTGCTTTCTCCCGGAACCGGGTAATAATGTTCCAACAATGAGTCATCCTATATATACTCAGGCTTCTTGAGTTCTCAAAGGGCTCATGACGTTGATGTGGACACCGCAACAAAAGAAAAGCACACGACTCGATGCCGCGTGCTTTCAGGAAGCGGGTAGCCATGACGTTGATCTCCACTTTCTTTATCTGAGATGTGAACCGATGCGTGGTACATTTTTATCTACATGTTCTACATAATACGAGTCAATGTGAAACAGCTTCCACAATAATGAACATGATGTGGGTTGACGCCGATCCTCAGTATTTACTGCAGCTGATAACGTAGCCCGGACGAATGCATTGAAATTAACAACCGAGAGCGACTTTGGGATACTTGCTTACAATCGAGATATACAACCAAAAGGTCCGCCCTTTCCTGCAAGCTTCGCAACGGATCAACAAGAAGCAGGAAAGCAACTTTACTTTCTAACAAGGGCTCTAGTGCTGCTTTACTATTTCTGCCGCGATGGCCGACAAGCTCATGACTTGTCTGCACCGATTCGAATATTTAATGGATAACTTTTAGCTGTGTGCTGTCACTTTTGCTTGCAGCGCTGAAAGCGTAGTCAGCATTGTGACAGTTTAGAAAATCAAGCACTAATCGAAACACTGTCGTGACGTAGAATTATTGGGGGCACGCATATGAAAGCTTGATTTGCAATGCTGCTGAGCGGATGGCTGTAGCAGATATTTAATCATGACCGTAGTGCTATAAATTCAAATTCATACGATATATTCAGATCTGCATCTCGTCTTAAATCAAAATATATTACTAGCAGCTCAAGAAACAAATTCTTGTTTAGTTCCCACAGACTATATATAAGATTGATATCGCAAGTACAAAAAGTTAATTATGGTTTGCACAGAAAAATGCCATCAAGCTCGCTGGCTCTCTTTTTTACTGGCATAAATGCTCGCTTTCTCTACTTCATGCTAGTTCTCTGTTATCGGCGTGTGAGCTTTGTGATGAATCTTGGCTATAGTTCACCGTGCCACTCAAACAGCTATACATCGGCCGTTTAAGCCCCCTTCACCATCTTGCTGCTAGAAACTCCAGCTATAAAGACCACTGAATCAAAAACCGGATGTGACGCTCAACAACTTCAAATTCCACTGTTTTAGATCGACAGCAGAGTTACAATCACATTATTTTGGCGTGATATTCTGCTACTACGTGATCACAACGATCTCTTGGTTTTGAGTGATGAGTAAGCTTTCACGACATATTGGTCCACTTTCTTGTCAGTTGTGTAATCATAGCCATGAGAGAGATTCAGGCTGACTATCAGAAGATTTAAAGCAAAAGTCACGAAGGTTTTTCTCCTCGCATCCGCTGATTTTTAACCAGTACAGTCATAGTTCAAATTACAACCCGCTGATTTCAGCGCGACCAAAATCGTTGTTGTTAACTGCAAGATCGAGCATCTTGCAACAGTGACGCAAATTGGAAATCTTCCCTTAAATCAACAATTTGATCAATTTAAAGCCATAACTAAAATTGATTTCGTCACAGCGCAATGACAAGTGTCTCTGCTTGCAGTTCCAGTACCCTCGGCATGAAGATGAAGCTGTCACGGATTATACGCCAAGGCCGCCAATGGTTGTCTGAGATCGGTCAGCTCTGACTCCTGCAAGGTCATCACAGAACAAGATGCTTGTCTCATGCATACTAACGACATACTGTGATCACATTTCAAATATAATTACGCCTATATGCATGCACGCAGCGGGACGCATAGACCGTCTCAGCCTTTTCTGCTTCTAGTGTACCCACCAAGAATTGTGAAATGCGCCTGTCGCCAAGGTTAACGCATGTTCCAGCTGAGGAAACTTTTTTACGATTTCAACATCAGCTGAGATTCATCATGAGGCTTAATAGTTGGTTATTTTGTATCGCTATGATACTGTCATATGCAATAGTAACTGTGCCAGTATATTGACAGAAATTTTAAGCCGCACTCGTCACTTGTAGTACAAGGACAGAGAAGTGACTCTTATATTGTTTCCGTCAGTCATGACATCCGTCCTAGAAATGCCGTCATCACTAGTGAATTCCTTTTTTCAAACGCGAGCTACGTGGGCAAATTTTGCACGGCCGCATACAGCCGTAGGATGACGTAATTGTTGAGCTTGGCCTTGTATGACAAGAGAGCAACATTTGCATAGAGCGATAGCAGCCAGTAATATGTATCTTCCACCATCGGAACATTCGGAACATTACCACTCTTGTACTGTATAAAAGCTTATAAAAGCTTGTCCACCTACTCCTAAAATTCTGTTTTTCCTTCCTAGAATTAGGCGTGCGACACATAAAGTCGAGGATTTTGAAGTGTTCAGTTCACAATTTCGCCTCTAAAAAACAACCCTGCTGTGAGTGGGTATATTATAGCCGAATAGATACTGCTGTGGTTTACGCCAACGTTGTCGCGACGTAGTCCTGTCGAAAATATGCCGTACGTCGAGGACACAGACTTGCCACTTCTCCAGGGCAACTCACGTCGTCAGGGTGTGCCACTCGTTAAGAGCGACTGTAAGTAGCAACTACCTCCTTTTCCTCCCTTGTTGGCACGTAACTCACTTTTTACTCTTGTCAGTGCACCTCATGAACGACATGGATGAGTACGTTTGCTACGGCGACCGTATAGCCTTCTTGTGTGAAGGTCAACTTCTCGCACTCACGCGAAAATTCAATCTGACGTACCAGCAGATGGCACTACTTGCCGCCTCGACACTTGCAACTGGCGGACTAATGGGAATTGCTGGATTTTTTGTCTGGCGAAAAGGACTTTTTCGGAAGCGCTACGCTGCGTTGTTTGGCGATGAAGTGTATAGTGAAGAATCATTCTCAGAACTCATCAAAGATCAAGCTACTATGACAGGAGACCAGTTGCCAATTTTAGGAGAAAACAATCGTTCGCGCAAGAAGACGCTTTCAAACGCCTCTAGTCGCATTTCTACGACGAATGGCGTGACAGGAGAACCTGATGCGCCAGTTGGGGGATCGAAGGCCGCCCATGGCTCTGTGGCATTTAAATTGTATGAATTTGACCCAAAAAAACAGCAATTGATCTTTTCTAGTGTTGGTTTGCCAGTGAAGTTTGGGACACCACTTGTTGTCGTACATGCAGAAACTGGACGCGCAATTCGGTTTTTAATCCATCGAGGAGCAGTGACGATAAGTAAACCACCCGTTAACTTGGCGTTTCATCGTCAGGTGCGGGCCAGTCTTCTTGCCATGGAAGACTCGACTGTGCAGTTGAATGCGATCAAGCGATCCAGACCACAATCTGTCACTGTTTCGTCGAACAACATGCATAATAACAATGTTGTTAATGCTATGGGAACCTTACGCGCAACAGTAGCGGACCCCTTGGAACGAGTTGAACCAAAAGTAAGAAACCGGAATGAATCGCAACATTATTCCCTCGAAGATAATATTGTTGATCAAAGTCAAGATCAAGGCCACAGTCATCGACCAGGGCAAGTCTTGAGCGCGCTTCCCCGTGGCAAAAAGCTACAGACATTAAACAATCCGCCTCTTTTCAACCGCCGACCTCGAAGTCGAGTAAACCAGCAGTCGAGTCGATCCATACAGCGCCGATCTCAACGTCATAGTCTCGATCTGTCGAGCACTACTGCTGCTGCTTTTCAGGCTGCAATTAATGACCCTCGATCACAACCAGCTGTAGTAACGAACGAAGACTGTACGTTCGAAAGAACGGGCACAAATAGTACAGACACAATAAATGCCTCGTCATCACGTCATCGTCATCGTGCTTCGAGTTCTTCTACATCAGCCGTTGGCGGTACAAATGCGTTTTATCGATCCATTTCTGAGTCGTACATGAACATTATCTCGGATCTCACAGATACATTACATCAACAACGTGATCGTCAACGTGATCGTCAGGAACTGCGCCGACGTCAAAAAGCACTCATGAAAGACTTACCAAACATGTCATTTAATAATCCATTGGGCAAGTACTATGTGGCGACCATTGAGCCGATGCGACACCAGATAACTGGAAGTAACTACCGTCTTCCGGTTGCACCAAGTGACGAGTATTTGCGTTGGGGACAGCCCATGTCGGTGGTCGCAAAGTTTAACAATCGAGCGTGTGGCATTCGACCACGTGAGTATTACAAAGATAGCGATTTGTACCTTACAACTGAAGCAAAACCTACCACAATGGTGCCATTGCGTGAAGACGGCGATCTTAAGTGCATGGCTAAGGAATCCACACGATTGCTTGCACATTTGGAACAACGACACGTAAGTTTAAGTGTGGGTACGTACAATGTGTGGATGTTACCACGTAAAGTGAGTGCATTTACCAGTGTGTCGCCCAAGAAAAATACGCGTGCACGTTTGATTGGCGATATGTTGCCTCCGTGTGACATTTGGGTTCTTACTGAGTGTTTTGATTATCGAGCGCGTGATATTTTACTCGATAAAATGTCTGATGCTGGCTATTTTTTCTTTTCCCCCACGGTGGGACATAAGCGCGTCAACAAGTCGAATATGCGTAAGCTGCTGAACGGCGGCGTGTTGCTTGCAAGTAAATACCCAATTCTTAGCGTGCGTGTCAAGCTGTTTGAAGGTGCGTGCGCCGGAGCCGATAAACTGGCGGATAAAGGCGTGCTTTATTGTAAAATTCTCAAAGACGGTCTTTTAGTGCACGTGTTTGCAACCCATCTACAAGCGTGGAATGACCCACTTTCGCGAACGATGCGTAAATTACAGATGGAAACAGTTGCTAGATTCATGCGCGCTATGGACATTGACGAAGCGAACGACGTGGTGTTGGTCGTAGGTGACTTGAATGTCGACTTTTGGCTAAACAAGACGAATCAGGAGTATGACGAGATGCTCAGCATTTTTGGAGCCGTAGACTCATCAGTCGTGTGTCAGCATCAACTGAATTTTTCGGAGAAGAAACAAAGCGCTGCTGACTTCAAACACACACGTAAGTACAGCTTTGATCCTCGAGTGAACTCGCTGGCTGCTGAAGGTTTGAGTACCGATGGAAGTCTCGAGCTGCTTGACTATATCCTATACTCGCGTACACATCGTCAGCCCGAGACGGCATCTAGTTGGGTTCAGCCACTGACAACGTCGCAGCCATGGATGTGGCGAAAGCAATCTCAATTTAACTTGTCCGACCACTTTCCAGTTGTCAGTGAGTTTACCTTTGAAATGTAAGATACGACTGGATGCTGAGAAGGGGATGCCATGGATGTAAGTTTCATGTTGTAAATGCTTGGGAAATTAATCGCTTTTAACATTAGTACAGTATCGGGAATTTTTAAGATGCCATAAACGCCTCAGATTATTGTTTCCCTTCTGACAAAAGAGCCATACATTGCTTAGAGGTCCAGGTTCTGAGCTCCTGTAGGTGTTGCGATCAAATAAGAACATCATAGTATCCGGTTTTACACTATACGTTGTGAACGTTGTGAGGCACTTTGACGGATGCCAGCATTGAGGAAGAAATTTATGCCTGATAAGCTCAAAATATGTACACATTGCCATTTGCCTATTAACAATGTGTTAATAGGCAAATGGCAAGATCATAAGGAGTCCTTTTCTTACAAATCAGTCACGAAAAGATCCACGATTTATTGTTGATGCGCAACAGAGGAAGTGCACGACCTCGCGCGCGGCTCAACCGCTTGGCGACAGACCATATAATCTTATTTTGTTCAAGTAGAGAGAGATATTATCTTATGAATAGCAACCTTTCTTTTGGGCCATTCGTTCTTCTAGTTGTGATGTTTCTGGATGTATCTCAATGGGATGCAATTTTGAAAGGAGGGACTCTCTCAAAGAGAGTCGAGACTCACATCCTGGACCAAGAAATGTTAGTTGTATCATCAACAGTGTAGATGCCGTATATGTCTTAATTAATGCAGAAGCGTCGCGCGATCACGTTCGATGTGCAATTGTCGACAAACGCAGTCAGCTCGTGGAGACATTAAAGTTGCTGAGTTCGGATACGATATCTGTGATTCTCGCGAAGAGAACATAAAAAAACTTCTGAGCTATGCTGTTGGATTTCATAACTTGGAAATAGTGTTCTCATTCTCGACTTGGATTCGAGGCTTGATACAATCGAGGTATGTCGCAGTCTTGATGCCATGAGCTATGCATCGACTGAAATCAAAACAGTTTTCATGCCACGTTTTTCTCCTCGTGGAGATTTGATGAGCTATGATTCCACCTCTGTTACGAAGCAGAAGTGGTTCTGCTGGGAATGAAGATGCGATAAATTCGATATAAGACATGAATTGATCGGACTGCTGGGCTCCGATGTTGCCGAATAGTTTTAGCAACGATCGGAAGGCAGAAGCAGCATTTCAAGAGGATACCCAAAACAGAGATCGTGTATTGCGGCCTCTGTGCCAGGAATGGTAGAGGTGGTTGATTTATATCCCAGATGTAAGTTGCATACACCAAATAGGAAGCGGATAACTCTTTCTTGTTACAACGTACAAGTACCGCTGATTCAGCAATACCGTGTGACATGCCCCCGTGGTGAGCAGTGAAGCTTCACGGGTTTGTGTTTAAACCCATAATCAGTCATGAATGGAGTGACAAGGATAATGATAAAACTCGACTTCTCTCCTTGTTACCTCAAGCAAAAGCTCGGTGATCGCCCAGCGAAAAGCTTAGCGTGCTGAACGACGTGCTGCGTCTTCTCGTACACAGGCCCATGATGCTAGGAGCATATTTGACAAAACCACGGCACCGCGACTTGTTGTGGACATGAATCTGAAAACAATCGTCTTTAATGCTGCTTTCGTAAGGTTTACATGACTCTCGGATGTGTCTTATTCCAGAGGAAATGCCACCACGACAGCAACGACAGCTTCGGCCGTCAAAGCGTCCAAAATTTAATAATGTCAGAGGTTCTGCTGCCAAAAGCAACCGATCGAAGGATGTGTCTGTCGTTCACATGCAGGAGTAGTGAGAAAGAGAGCAAGTGATCAAGCTCGGAGTCTGTAAATTGTTTCGAGAACCATAACAATGAGCTACCGTTTCGGTGACAATAGTCGAACTACGCGAAGTTGATTAAATTGTGTGTGAGCGCTAAAAAAGTAAAAATGCATCTCAAAGCGATTAGTCGAAACCTTATCATTGCTAGCACGAGGGTGTCAAAGCTCTTTTACGCTTCGTTGTAACTCGGAAAGTCGTTGTAGCCCTTGCCGCCCAGTGATGAATCATAGTATACGTTGAATTCAGCCTGTGGAGCCAAAGGCCAATCATTCTGGAAGCGCTCAGCCAGATCGGGGTTTGAAATGTACAATCGTCCAAAGCCGACGAAGTCGATGGCTCCAGTGCAAATCGCACCTTCAGCACGGTCACGAGTGTAACTATTGTTGGCCATTACAATTCCTTTAAATGCCGTCTTGGCATCAAACGCAGTGGTGAGACGACACTTGTCTGTATTGCCAAAGCCAAAGCCGTCTAATATGGCAAGATACCCCAAATTATACGTACTTAAACGCTCCATTGTGTACTTGAACATTTCGTAATTATCCTCACTACCCATGCCCGCAAAAGCACCATTCGGTGATAGTCGTACACCAATGCGATGCGATGGCACAGCCATCTTGACAGCTTCAACAATTTCCATTAAAAGACGAGCTCGATTCTCGAACGAACCGCCGTATTTGTCCGCACGTTTGTTTGTACACGATTGCAGAAACTGGTCAATTAGGTATCCATTAGCACTGTGAATCTCCACACCATCAAAACCTGCCTTTAATGCCAAGCTGGCACCATGACGATATGACTCGACAATTTCTGGAATCTCGTCCGTTTCAAGTGCACGTGGAGTCTCGTAGGCTTGAGTGACGTAATTTATATCACGTGTGTGGCCATTTTCAAGACGCAAAGCCGATGCTGAGACGATTTCACCCTTGGAATTGAAGCTCGAGTGGCCTTGACGACCCATGTGCCACATTTGTAGAAATATCTTCCCACCTTTCTTATGCACACGATCGGTCACACGTTTCCATCCTTCGACATGTGCGTCTGTGTAGCAAGCAGCAGCGTGGTACCATCCGTAGCCCTGTTCCGAGATTGCAGTGGCCTCCGTGATGATTAAGCCAGCACCAGCTCGTTGTTCATAGTAAATTTCATTGTTTTCCGAAGGAACACGATCAGCGTTAGCCCGACCACGAGTAAGTGGACCAAATACGACGCGATTTTTCAGCTCGAGGTCATCACCAAGGTGCAGTGGAGTAAAAAGCTTGTACTCGGCGGTAAGTGCGGCCATAATTGCAAGTCAAAGTCCTTTCGAGTATGTCGAAAATTGAAGAATGAAACTATTTGTCTCGTTGCATACTTGACATGAAGCCATGATTACCTACAAAAGTAGCCAGAAACGAATGGTCGGTTGCGTTTTATGATTGTAAACGCTATATCGTAGACCTCTCGTCGCAGATCTTTAGATTGGACTAGCTATATCGAAGTCTGCATAGTCGCGACACTCGAGACGGTAGGAATGCAGAAATCGTTTGGCAACCATTGACTGTACGCTGAAGTGGGGTTTCGAAAACTAGCAAGCGCATATGAAAAATTTATAGAGTCCATAAAGCATTTATAAAAACCACCTTGGTGATCACATCTTCAAAGATTATTTGCTATCCTTCGAATCTAGATTTTATGGCACGATTAGAATTTGGAT